ACATCATCATCATCATCATCATCATCATCATCATCATCATCATCATCATCATCATCATCATCATCATCATCATCATCATCATCATCATCATCATCATCATCATCATCATCATCATCATTTCAATTTCTTCATCGCCGTCGTGGTCATCATCGTCGTCTTTGTCTTGGTCACTTGCTGCTGTCAATTCCATAATCTCGATTATCAGCCAACTACCCCAGGCACTTATTTTCTCAGCAGCATTACAGCAGTGATCATCATCCTCTTGATCTCATTCGTCACCATCGCTGGCATTTCGATCATCTCCATCATCATCCACATCATCTCACCCCAAGACCGTTATACGCTGGACCATAACCTTGGTTCAGGTCGACCGCTCGCCTGCTCTTCATGTTACATTCTGTCAAATTTGATATCGAGGAGAACAAGAAGGATCGCTGAGCTTCTGCCGTTCGCCCAAGTTCCATCAGAGCGTGACCTGAAACGAACATGTGAATGATACGATCTTACTCGCCCTTATTTGTTCCCACACATCTTCTCTCTTCATGCTCTTCATCGGCATGATGTCTCTCACATCCATTCTTTGTTACTCTGTCTTGCACTCTCCCTCTTTCCCCACATTGCTTCCTCTCTTCACCCTCTTCCTCCTTGAAGCTTGTTCTTCCTTCTCTTCCTCACCTAGCTTTGTACTGACGTCTTCATCGTCTGTATTCTCATTGCACAATCGCTGAGCGACGTCTCGAGCTGCTTCAAACCTGCGAGGAGGATGTAGCACAAGAGAGCGCATGATATATACCTTCTGGATCTGAAGTAGAGGGTGTACAGCGACATTAGGGTTGCCTTGTCTCCTCCGCCCGCTCTCATTGCTTTCTCGTAAGACACGATCGCAGCCTCTGTCTTCCCTCCTTGCTCAAGGATCCGCCCGATGCCAGCATGCGCCGCACTGCAGCTCGGGTTGCTTTCCAGCGCTGACAAGTAGCTTCGCAAAGCTGAAGGGATGTCTCCAAGCGAGAGGTAGAGACCCGCTAGCTGAATCCATGACTCCTCTCTCCCGGGGTTCAATGCCACGCAACTCCTGTATGCTTCCTGCGAAGATAAAACATTAAGATAGAACAAATCAGATAAAGCAAGCATCATAAAGATTTCTGATACTCCCTCACCATGGCTTCTGTGATGTTTCCAGATTTCTACCAAGACAAGATCAGTGTCTGAAAGGGAAATGAGGGGGAGGAACTGAGGCAAGAGAGGACTTAGGGATGGAAGAACTCCAAAAAGAAAGAGAAGAACAGAGACAAGGAGAGCAAAGGAGAGGGGGAGAGAGTGGGAGGGAGAGAGTGGGAGGGAGAGAGTAGGAGGGAGAGAGTGGGAGGGAGGAGAGGAGAGATGCAGAAGAAGGGGGGGTGGGGGGGGTGAGGGAGCGAGGGAGCGAGGGAGAGAAGATATTGAATGCATTGAAACCTGTAGTAGCAAACCAAGATAGAAGAAAGCCTCGTCATTGCCCGGGTTGGATTCAACAGCTCTTCTGCATTCCTTGATTGCCTGGGCCACTTGGGTCAGCCAAAACAGAAATACTCGATGCAACTTACTCGCTCTACACTTCTGTTGAGAGCAGATGAGGAAGATGAGGAAGGTGAAGCATCCCCACATGACAAGGCACCAGCTCCTCGGCGATGCGAGGGAAACTCGAGATGAGATCCGCGTAGGAACGCGAAGGGAAGGGGAACCGATGACGTATGACGGAAAGAGGAGAAAGATGAGAAGCAGGAAGATGAGAGGAGGGCGGCGGAGGAGAGGGAGGAGGAGAGGGAGGAGGAGAGGGAGGAGGAGAGGGAGGAGGAGAGGGAGGAGGAGGAGGGACGCAAGCGAATGGGAACGGGGTTGGCAGCCAAGGACAAGACCACTAACAGAGGGAGCATGATTGATATAAGGACGAAAGTTTGAAACTTGGAAACGCGAAGCAACTCAAGGTGAAAGTTTGGAATATATCAATGGATGAAACTTTGAAAACTTGAACGTTCGTTTGCGTACCCCTACAATCGCGGGAAACTAGGGGGGTAGATGTGGAGGAAACCGTTGACAGACAGACAGACAGACAGACAGACAGACAGACAGAGAGACAGACAGACAGACAGACAGACAGACAGACAGACAGACAGACAGACAGACAGACAGACAGACAGACAGACAGACAGACAGACAGACAGACAGACAGACAGACAGACAGACAGACAGACAGACAGACAGACAGACAGACAGACAGACAGACAGACAGAGCGATCACGAAAGGGAGAGGGAGGGATAACCACAAAGCGAGAAGGCAATAGGGAAGATCGGAGAAAGAGTGATTAGAAGGTAGGATGTTCTGAAGCAAAACATTGGACGGGAGAAACAACAACATTTCTCGGTATTTGTGACCGAAAGATGCAAAATGATCAGCAACGGCATTCGAACAAAACAAAGAACAGAAAATGGACGGAAAGAGAGAATGAGGCTCTTCGACAGGGTATTCTTCAGTTCGGTGCCGGCAAATGGAAGAAGATCAAAGATAAGGCAGGTACTGTTCTTGACAATCGAAGTAATGTGGACCTGAAAGATCGGTATCGGAATATGCAATCTGTCAGGGACAGAATCTTGATGCTGATGGGTGCCATCCCAGGAGAGCATGTTCAGAACTGCTTGATTGCTCCGGATCTTGAAGAAGTAAGAAAATGTCAGAATGACAATGTGGAGCATTTAAATTGGGAGCTCCTCCCTAATATTGAACGGAAGTTGAAAGCTCTCCAAGAATCAGAGCACAAACGCGTTGCTTTCAAGAATGTTGCATCTCAACAGAACAAGAACGCACAGGCTGTTTTTACAACTACCCATCCTCGCATTGATCCGGAAAGACATGCAAGCCCTGGGTGCATGAGACTCACGGGAGGCGGATTAAGCTCAAAACTCCCTCGTTATTGCAAAGACACTCAGTCTAAGGCAGCAGACGAAGCAAAACTTGTGGAGGAAGTGGATGAGCCGGATAAGCGGTCGGCAAAGAAAAGAGAATGGATAGACGAAAAGGTCTTCATGTCCCCAGCAGTAGAGCAACAACCTTTGGAGACCTTGCAGCATCTCGCTCGGGACTATCCATGCAAGGCAAGACTCTCCGACATCCATCAGCTAAGCTCAAGTCCGAAGACTAACGACATGGGAGAGCCCATAGTGCAATATTCGGCAAACTTTGCCGCACAATGCTCGAGTGAATCGAGTAGTGAGGATGAAGAAGTGGAATTGATATCTGCGGATATCCCAGCTACCAGTGAAAAAGGTCACAACAGTACAAGTTCTTCAGGCGCACGAGGGAACAAGCCAGAGAGATTCTACTGCGGTTACATTCACGACTTGGTGCTGTATGCTGGAAATAGTTGCACGAGCACAAGACAGGTGCTCCTTCCCAAGCTCCTCCATTGCTTATGCCTCACTGACGGTGCCTCACCCCTTGCAGGTCAGGTCTTGGCTTCTCTCGCATCCTCACCTCTGTCCCGTAGACAGCTTCCAGGACTGTGACATCGATCACATCATCCCCAGAAGCCTTGGCGGCCATGACCACCCATACAACTACTACATCATGCCAAAGAGGTGCCGCCAAATTGAGTCACTTGAAGAATGTTGAGACTAACGCGCTGCAGCATGAATCAAAAATTCAACAAATGGATGACGAAAGGTAATCCATGCTTCACCTAAAATGCATGCTGAAGCAGAAAACTGGCAGACAAGGCAGCATATGTGGGGAGAGTTGTGTACAAATGTGCTACAAAGTTCGCAGAGGTTCAGATAAATTCTTACATCTCCACCGATTGACAAGTGTGCAGCACTGCAGGGAACAGTCGAAACCTTACATCGAGTATCTCTCTTTCACTCCGTTCTTTTGATCTCCTGGACCTCACTGCATGCTTGTCTGACTACATACTGCTCTTCCTCTTCATCCTTCTGGCTCCCTCCCTATCCATTTTTTTTTTGAGGGGATCGAATAAATCCACCACTACCCACCCTTCTACCCTACATGCTGTACGTACTACCCCACGTTTTCCTTGCTGGGGAGTCTAGTTACATGGGGGTAATTACCACCCCCTTTTGGTTTGCTATTACTTTCTGTGGTACCCCCACCCCTCCTACGATCATACGGAATATAAAAATCAGGTGAGTACTACCAGCAAGCCCCCGTGGCCCAATGGACAAGGCGCCTGCCTACGGAGCAGGAGATTCACGGTTCGAGTCCGTGCGGAGGTATTTCTTTTTGCGATTTGTCTGGGGTCACCACTGCGAAGGACGTCTCAGTACCGTGCCCACCGGCCGCGCCGGCGCGTCGGCGGCCCGCCGGAGTCCGAGACCCGGTGACTGAGGCTCCCGGCGAGGCTCCGGTGAAAGCTCGAGGAGGAGTAGTCATGGCATACCGCCGCCGTGCAACCCCGACCTGCTGAGAGTTTGCGCGAGTTCTTCGTTGAGGCGCATGACTTTGTTCTATTCAGACCGGCCATAAACCAGCACCAAGCCTTGAAGGTCAAGGTCAAGGTTAGGTCAACCCATAAGCCCCCTAATGCTCAGTGGAGCGATTCTCTACCGTCGCGTGAGGGCTCCTGCACCGGCTGCCGCTGAGATGGCGCGGGGATCCCACCTGACCCGGCTGCGGCAGTGCTGTGCCTGATGACGCAGGACGCCCCCCGGTATATGTAGTCACAAGATGTGAAGTTTTACTCGCAGAAGGTAAAAAGTGCCTCAAGCAGAACAAAGCACTGCGGCAGGAACAAGCTAAACCTCCAGGCACACAGCGCACAGCGAGAAGCTGCACAAACACACACAAAACACAAGCCCGAAAAGAACCAGCACTGCTGGCAACTGTCAGCAGGGAGGGCCAAGCAACAGTCGCGAGGAGGGGTAACAAGCCGCTGAGCAGGAGGGGACGTACCCGGAGCGGCATCCGACTGACCACTGTCAGTCGAGACGTCCGCGGCCGCCAGCTTTGTTGGCGGCCGCGGACTCGGCGAAGAAAGAGCAGCCGGACAGAGGGAGGCTGGGCACAGGAGCACGCCGGTACCGCCGCCGAGTCGAGGTGACGCATCCAGTCCTCCTCACTAGCCAGTAAATCCATTGTTGGTCACTAGCCTCCGAGTCAGCGCACGGTCTAAGGGATTTTATTCCTCCTGCATGCTCCTGCTGCTTGTTGCCAGGCTTGATTGCTTGACCCTTCGGCTGCTTGTCTGCGCGGCTTCGCGCTTGCCAGCCGCAGTGCTGGTTCTTTTTGGGCTTGTGTTTTGTGTGTGCTTGTGCAGCTTCAGGCTCGCTGTGCGCTGTGTGCCAGGAGGTTTAGCTTGTTCCTGCTTTGTTTGCTTGAGGCACTTTTTACCTTCTGCCAGTAAATCCGTGATCCCGGAGGCAGCCGACTGACCACTGTCAGTCGAGACGTCCGCTGCCGCCACAAAAGGCTTGCGGCCGGCGGCCGCGGACGGAGAAAGGGCAGCCGCCGACAAGGAGCCGGCGTTGCCCGGGGGTCCGCCTGGGGCAGCGGACGGAGGGAGGCTGGACACAGGAACACGGTACCGCTCGAGGTAGTCCTCCTCGCTAGCCTCCGCGGCGGGCCCGTGACGGCGGCGACGGCGCAGCAACTTGATGCCCAAGGACCCGGGCCCGGCGGGACCCGACCGATGCCAGGGAGGAAGCAGGCGAGCTCGGACCAGCAGCAAGCACCCCAGTGGTGTCGACTCACCATCTGAGCTCTCCGCCGGGAGGCATCCGACGTCACAGTGAGTCGGAGCCTGACCTCAGTCCGGCGAAGACTCCTCCTCGGGCGACTCGACGCGTGACAAAGTCCGAGGAGGAGCTGTCCTCTGGCTCGAGAAGTGCTTGCGCCCGCAAGGGCGTCATGCGCCTCGCACCAGACAAGAGCGCCTCCAGCGTCAGGTGGATGGTGAGGCGCTGATAGGTGGCGGCGCGTTTGCGAGCCAAGACCTCATCATCAGGCACGAAGTGCCGACCAAACGCCGCATCCTCAAGAGGCATCGAGCGCTGAGCAATGATGTCCGCGAGATACCAGATGAAGCGGAGGGTGTCAGGATGCAGGGTACCGTCCGTCGAGATGGCAAGAGGGATGAACGCTCGAGGAGGAGTAGTCATGGCATATGCAGCGCGATGTTTGCGAATCTTCTCAGACGCTGCAACATGGAGGGCGTCGAGGTTGACCTCCCCCCACTTGCAAGTTGGTCAGGTCGGCAGAGCTACCAATGGAAGGGACGGATTTACTGGCGTGCCTGCTGCTGAGGTCTTGGCTCGCAAACGCGCCGCCACCTATCAGCGGCGGCCTCACTATGCAGCTGACGCTGGAGGCTCTTGTCTGGTGCGAGGCGCATGACGCCCTTGCGGGCGCAAGCACTTCTCGAGCCAGAGGACAGCTCCTCCTCGGACTTTGTCGAGTCGCCCGAGGAGGAGTCTTCGCCGGAGGTCTCCGACTCCGATGGGGGAAACCGTCATCAGCCGCCGCAGCCGCAGCCGCAGCCGCAGCCGCAGCCGCAGCCGCAACACCACCGCCACCACCAGCAACCGCAGCAGCAGCAGCCGCAGCCGCAGCACCCGCGTCAGCAGCAGCAGCAACAGCAGCAGCAGCAGCAGCAGCAACGCCAGCGTCAGCAGCAGCGTCCGCGTCAGCAGCAGCAGCAGCAGCAGCACCAGCACCAGCAGCAGCAGCACCAGCAACCACCACAGCAGCGACCACAACCGCGCGGGCCGAGGGAGCAGCGGCAGTCCGGCCAATCGTCTCAGGAGTCTGAGCCTGCTCCTCCGCCGCGACCTACGCTGTCCCTCACCTCTGCGAGCGAGCGCCAAAGACAGTTGGCGATTCATCAGTTCACTGCGGGTGACCTTCATCGGGCGGTACGGACACTACTGAGCTCCGGCATCTACAGGGCTGAATCTTTTGCTGATCTTCTTGCTGAAGCACAAGAGAAGTTCCCTGATGGTGCGTCGCCTGCCTTTGGAAGTGCTTCCGCGGCTCATCTCACCCAGCAAGCGCTTGCAGTACTGCAGGTGGATTTGACTGACACCAAGGGTGGAGGATTCGGCAACACCTGTCACCCCTTTCTAGTCATCCTGCAGCTTTGAAGCTCTACTGCAAACATATCCTCCAAGGGGTCCTTCTTGGCCAAATGCCGGATCTTCTTATTCCTGCCCTGTCAGCCATTCGTCGAGGAGGCAGATTTATTCCCCTCTCCAAGGGAGCTGATAAACCTGGCCTCCGGCCAATTGTCATCGGTTCTGCACACTGCGGGCCGTCGACTCGCGACGAAGCTTGCTTTGGCAGCGATTCGCTCATTTCTTGACCAGCACTTCCTCTAGAGTCTCACCCTCGAGCGATTCAGTTCGGACTCGATCGAGACGGCTGTCTGAAGTTCTCGCAAACCGCGTCAGCGCTCCTGCCCCGGTTCACGCTCGCGGTGATGATGAGGATGTTGCCAACCCCACAGTGCTGGTGAGTTTGGATGCAAAGAACGCCTTCAACTCCCTCGACCGCCAGGCTCTCTTCGATGCAATCGAGGGACGTGCGAGTCGCGACTACTTTGATGGGAGCATCACTGAAGGCGCTCGCTTGCCCTCTTGCGAGCATCTCCGTTTGTTCGCCTCCTACCTCTCCAGCTACTATGGAGACTCTGCTGACCTTCGACTCTTTCACAAAAGTCAGTCAGCCTCCGTTCAGTGTACCTCGGGCGTCTGTCAGGGCGATGTCCCCTCCAGCGTATTTTTCTGCCACAGTATCCACCCCCCAGTGCTCCTCCATATCACAGAGCTTTTTCCCTCTGTTCGAGTCTTGGCCTATGCTGACAACGTCGTGCTTGTCGGTCCACTCGAAGATGCCGTTGCAGCTACGTCCGCTATGAAGAAGTACATGTTGGCTGATCTGAAGCTAGAGATTCAACCTCGAGAGGGCGCTTGAGAAATACCACCGCTGGCCTTCCTCGCAGTACCTCGCCGCGCATCCCGACCTGCTCGAGTTTGCGAGGTTCAAGCGGGAGCTTCCGCATAGTCGGGGAGGGGACGAGTTCACGCCCTCTGAGGGTCTACACCCCGCTGTTTACTATACGGCTATCGCTCGCTTCCTCGCTTGGTACTCTGCCCAGCCGATGTCCCGGACGCTGCCCTCTCCTCATAGCCTGGACTAATGGACGTTCACTGCTCGAGATCTCTCCGTGCCCAGAAGCATCCTCTGGCGACCTTCTTCGTTGAGGCGCACGACTTCGTTCATAATGCTGGAGCGATCCTCTACCGTCGTGTGAGGGCTCCTGCACCGGCTGCAGATGGCGCGGCGATCCCACCTGCCCCGGCTGCTGTGCCTGATGACGCAGGACGCCCCCCGGCATCTGTGGTACACATCCCTGGTTTGCGCGCTCTCGTCGACTCGTCTCATGAGCACTTCATTCCTCCGCCTGCGCAGCGAAATGTGACCCCTCTTGTCATGCGCGTCTTCCCTGCTGGTTCTTTTCGGGCTTGTGTTTTGTGTGTGATTGTGCAGCTTCTCGCTGTGGACTGTGTGCCTGCCGGTTCAGCTTGTTCATGCTTTGTTTTGCTTGAGGCACTTTTTACCTTCTGCCAGTAAATCCTATGACCTCGCCATGTGCATGCTCGCGCTGCGCTGACCGATCAGCAGCGTGATATCCTCACCTTGCACAGCCGCAGGACACACTCGCTCAAGTCGCAGGATAGGGTCTTGCAGTCTACCATCTTCGCTCATTTTCCTGAGCGTGACCTGAGCCACTCTCCGATGCGAGTCTCGAGCTACTACCCCCTCAAGGCCTTCCCGCACCGCTATGCTCAGATGCTCGACTGCTATCTCCATGGCATGCCGATCTGCCAGTGTCCGACGGAATGTCTCGGATGGATGTCAGCGCGCGCTCGATCCCTCCGTTGCTGCACATCACAGGCTCCAGACCTGCAAACGCCGATCCTCCAAGCTTCCCACGGCGCATGACAACCTTACTCGTACGATTCGGTCGATGCTGAACGAAGCTGGTCTTCAGAGCGTCATCGATACAGTGGGGGATCTCGACGGCAGGTACCCTCCCATCATCATGGCCGCAAGATGAAGGGCGATATCCACATTCCTGGAATCCGCGATCGAGGGTCCGAGCAGTACGAGGGCTTGATGGCGGACGTGACGTTGGTCCCCTTACATTGGTAGCTCTGCCGACCTGACCAAGTGGGGGGAGGTCAACCTCGACGCCCTCCATGTTGCAGCGTCTGAGAAGATTCGCAAACATCGCGCTGCATATGCCATGACTACTCCTCCTCGAGCGTTCATCCCTCTTGCCATCTCGACGGACGGTACCCTGCATCCTGACACCCTCCGCTTCATCTGGTATCTCGCGGACATCATTGCTCAGCGCTCAATGCCTCTTGAGGATGCGGCGTTTGGTCGGCACTTCGTGCCTGATGACGGACCTGCTGCTGAGGTCTTGGCTCGCAAACGCGCCGCCACCTATCAGCGCCTCACCATGCAGCTGACGCTGGAAGCGCTCTTGTCTGGTGCGAGGCGCATGACGCCCTTGCGGGCGCAAGCACTTCTCGAGCCAGAGGACAGCTCCTCCTCAGACTTTGTCGAGTCGCCCGAGGAGGAGCCCTTCGCCGGAGGTCTCCGACTCCGATGGGGGACACCCTTCGAGTGGCCCCGACGATCGGCGCGGAGCTGGCGAGGCGTCTCCGTCCCTCACTGTGACGTCGGGTGCCTCCGGAGAGCTCGACACCACTGGGGTGCTTGCTGCTGGTCCGAGCTCGCCTGCTTCCTCCCCGGCATCGGTCGGGTCACGCCGGTCCTTGGGCATTGCTGCGGCTGCTATAGGATTTACTGGCAGAAGGTAAAAAGTGCCTCAAGCAAAACAAAGCAGGAACAAGCTGAACGGCGTCGCCGCCGTCACGGGCGGCTACCACTGACTCGGCTACCACTGATTCGGAGGCTAGCGAGGAGGACTACCTCGAGCCTACCTCGAGCGGTACCGTGTTCCTGTGTCCAGCCTCCCTCCGTCCGCTGCCCCAGGCGGACCCCCGGGCAACGCCGGCTCCTTGTCGGCGGCTGCCCTTTCTCCGTCCGCGGCCGCCCGCTTTGTGGCGGCAGCGGACGTCTCGACTGACAGTGGTCAGTCGGCTGCCTCCGGGTATCGCGTCTAAGGGATTTTATTCCTCCTGCATGCTCCTGCTGCTTGTTGCTTGATTGCTTGACCCTTAGGCTGCTTGTCTGCGCGGCTTCGCGCTTGGGCTGGCGGTGCCGCGTCTGGGTGCCAACAGTGCTGGTTCTTTTCGGGCT